AACACCATTTGACAAAGGATTGCAAAAATGCGACAAAATTCTAAAACCAAAAAAATTAAGTTTAGAATATTTAAAGAAATTTTAGTAAAAAAAAAAAAAAAAAATTTACTTGTCTTTTCTTTGGAATCTTTCATATAGCCAAGTTTTTATTCCCTCTTTATCCTTGATATTAAAACAAATATATCAAATTCTGAAAATTATTACATTTCAGATATTAAAACAAATTTTAAAACATTTCAGAGAATACTTACATATAATAAGAGTATTGATTTAAAGTAAACACTTTAATGGTGTCTCACTTCTTCCCACCCTCCTTTTTTAATTTTAAATAAGAACATTAATCGCATACCACTACTCCCCACCCTCCCTTTTTAATTTAAAGTAAGCACTTTATTCGCGTCTCACTTCTCCCCACCCTCTCTTTTTAATTTAAAGCAAGCACTTATACGATAGGAATCGAAGGCAATTTCCATCAGATATGCAGCTGTCTTCGTATCTTTTTTATTTGCCAGTATCTGTGGCTGAAGGCGAGAGATCGTTTAGCAAGTTAGCTCTTTTCAAGAACTCTCTATGAGCTACTATGGGACAGGATCGTCTTAACGACTGTTTTATCCTTTTAATGGAAACAGATCTTGCGAAGAAAGTTAATTACAATGTTGTAACTTCCAACTTTGCTGTTAAAAAACTCGTAAAGTCTTGGTATAACGTCAGAAAAACTTAATATCAAATCCAGAAATGTTTTCTTTGTGTTTAATTGTTTGATTTGTGAACTGTCGCAAATACGGAATTTAAAAAATATTTTGTGAATACTAGAAATAATAGCTTTATTTTTCTTATTAATTTTATTTTGGTGGTAGTTAGAGGGGTGGGCATCCAAGTAAAATTTTTTATAATATAACCCGGGAATCATGAAGTCTCTGCGCGCCCCTGCCCAGAACACCACGTATCTAACTGAGAAGTTCATTTATTTAAAGTCAACTAGATTGACTATTTGTACATAACAAAAGATTTTTTTGAATTTAGAATCAATCATGTTGCCTTAAACATCTTTTTATTTCTTTCGAAAGCTTTTTAAAATTGATTTTAAGTAATACGCTCCTTTAAAGCTGTTTCAATGCTTTCCTCTCCGTTGGATGGAAACATTTGTAATTTCCATAGAAAAGACAAATCTATTTAGACAACATATTAACCTGATTTTTGTAATTGAGGAAGAGAGTGTAGGATTTTATCTGGATAAAATATGGTTTTAGACATCCGTCTCGCATAATGATCAGAACCAGCATACCAAATACAAAACCTTTTTTGTTTTGTAACAACAACAACAACAACAACAACAAATCGAACAAGCGTGACCAGCTCTCAATTACGTCTTTGGTATATATTTTTCTCTCCGAATATTTCGTTCTTTATTTCGTAATTTCAAGAACTTGTTGAAACTAAACACTATTTAGATCAAGAGACAACTTATATTTATGTATATGAATAATAATTATGAAATTCTTAAACTTTTCAAACAACTAAATTTCTTTATTTGGACCACAAATGGAATTGGGCATTGGACCACAAATAGAATTTGTGGTCCATTGGGCATTTGGACCACAAATGGAATTGGGCTTTTATTAAGAGCTTTGGAATATGTTTACATTCGAACATGTCTATATAGGGTGTCCCATTTCCGCCTTTTTTTTAAATTTTGAGTTGAACTTTTTATGTAAGGTACATAATCATTCAAAAGCAGTTATTGTAAAATTTTGGGACCATCAAGCATTGTTTAGGGGTAGCACAGTTACTTAATTTCGTTGAATTCTAGTTTTCGCCCCTATTTCTCAAAATTTAAAAAGATGTCACTGTCAGTTTTTTTAAAAATTCGTTCGAGAACTTTTAGTATGTTATTTTAAACTAAGTAACCTATTACTTAGGTAAAAAAAACTGGGCTGAAAGAAAAATATTTAGGGGTCGCACAGGACTGAAATAATGTTACTAATGTACACAATTGCATAAAATAATAGTAAAGAGAAAATTATGTTATTGAAGTTTTTCTTCCAATGAGAGACACCTAATTACGATGGTTCTCAACGATCTGAAGTGCGTGTTGTAGCTGTTTTAGATATTTGACATTGTTTTTGAAGTCTTGGATCAGCTTGACTGCCCGTTCAGCACAGTCATTAAAAGTCATTAAACTTCTAAAAACTCAACTACTTACTTAAGGTAGTTATAGTCTTTGTCCAATGTTCAACAGGTAGTTGCAACTAATTCATTTGATTAGGTTTTATTTTATGTAAATCAAACAGTAGCTAGGAATTTGGCCCAATCAGCAACACAAAATAAGGAATTTTATCCAGTTCAATTGTTAGAAATATTGATTTTCCAAGCTTGATTTGTTCGTTTCTTTTGATGTTAAACAACTTCAAAGCTGCGGCAGACGTTCGATCGCTGGAATAGATTCATCAATCAAGAAAATGAAGACAACTAATCCTTGAGTGAAATACTAGAGATACCTGAAAAAAGACTGAAGGGCGGCATCTGTTGCTGTCGAATTCGTGATACCACTGCATGTTAGTGATGTACTGGTGATTTACATTTGGTGCAATCATGAAAATTCGACTTTACAAAAAAGCTTTTGCTTGGAACAGCGCAATGAAATTTGCCATTCTCTTAGTTTATGGCATTGGTCCTGGTCGAGCCAATTAACTTGATGGTCAAACATTATGTAAACACATTCTAAAATATGGTAAACAATTGTGACTGTCAGCCCAACCATCCATTATCAAAGCTTCACTTACACAAGACGAGAGCAAACAAAATACTTATTTTGGACAGCAAGTCATGTTATCTAAGGGTAGGTACAAGTTCCTTTGAGAAATCAAAAACTCAGGCCTTTCAACATGTGTTAGATTGCGAGTTTGATTTACAGTTGATTTTAAAAACACTTTAAGTCACTTACTTGTGGCGTTCCTATATAGAACAGCTGATGCAGCGCGATCTGCTCATGCAACATCTGGGTATTTTGTTTCATTGGCTTCATTCACTTAATTGGAGGTTATATTTTCATGTTTATGTTGATATGTTGTGCTTTACTAGTTTACAGTGACTGATTTATGAATTTTTTATTGATTAAATAATGGTGACTGATGAAAACATCAATATTCCAAAAAAGATTAGAAAAACAGAAATTATAAATAAGTCTATCTACAAGAGTGAAATAATAAAGAAAACTTGTATTGCTGGAAGCCCATACACAAGCAACTCTGGGAAAGATATGTCTGAAAGAAAACTGGAGAAGATTGCAAATAAGTTTAAATATAACTTTTTGCATTTAGTTTATATTAATATTGTATGTAGCTAAAAAGGTGCCAATTTTCACTTAAGTCTGGTGTATATATATGTTAAAATATGTTAAGTTACTTGTTTTGTTAATATATTTCATGTTACTTTAAAGACTGTATGCCCGTATAATACTTCAAGAGTTTTTTTTACCGTTACTTATTTAACACCTCATATTTTCAATTAAAAATTTTTTTTTTATTAGGCTGAGCCTTTTAATAAAATATCTAAATAATAAAGCAATAAAAATTGTGGCATAAATAACTCAAATTATAATTTCTAAAATTTTAGGGTTATCAGTCGTTTGTATTACCAATCAATTGTTTAGGTCTACAATGGAAACCTACCTAGTATGATCTAAATAAATTATATATTGTCTAAAGAAATTATATACCAAACTTAATCTAGTGTAACCTCTACCTTACCTAATCCTAACTGAACTCTATTTCCTTTTGTTTAAATTTCTTAGAGTACACCTTACTAAACTATTTTCTTTTGCCCTTTTAAGGTACAGAAGTGCTTTAAAAGTGCTTTAAAATGATTGGAGAAGAGGAAAGATTAAGGGTATTCAACAAGTTGATTAGTCATAAAACTAAAAAACAAACAGGATTGCTATCTGCAGTTGCTGATATCTACTGCTGAGATTAAACAGGTGTATGCAAATTGGCTTTTATGTATACTCACAAACTAACAAGGTTTTTCCCATCTGTCACAAGTGACAGATGGGAAAAACCTTGTTAGTTTGATGATGTTTTTGATTTTTTTTTTAAGCATCTTTATTTTTAAAGTAAAGATAAAGAGATGCAACCTTAGGAAATGCTAATTTTGCAATTGCTTTGATATATGGTTTCCAATAAAGATTGGAAGTAAGAGTTAATCCTAGAAGACGAAGGGTAGACGACTCATTGAGTACATTACCATTCATAAATATAGGAAGATCTAATTATTGCGATAACAATTGGCTAAAAAAAATTTAGTTTTATCTGAATTTAGGTTTTCACCCACTGAGAGCCCCATGATATAGCAGAAGTGAGATCCTTTTTAAGCTCAAATGGCCCTCCTAATTTACCAAATTAAAAAAAAAAGAAGAAGCAACTTTCATTGCTTTAGTATGTCAAGTCTTTGTTGATAACCTAAAACAGGCATATTAAACTCAAATCCTAACATAGGCCAAATTTTTAAATTTTAGGTAAGCCACAAAAAAAATTAAAATTTTTTTTTCCTCAAACAAATCACACTCCATAAACTTTTTTTATAATAAAAACAGAAATTACAAAATAAACGGAAAAAAATATGAAATAACAATATAGAAATTAAAAATTCAAAAAAGCGATAGTTGAGAACAAAATAAAAATATAAAAATTAAATAATTAGCTAAAAAACTAAATAACAAATTATACAGTGGGCCACAAAATTATATGTTGTGGGCTGCATGAGGCCCATTGGGCACGAGTTTGACAGCCTTAGTCTAGTAGATCAAATTTCAGTTTCTGCATAACATAATTAGTAGTATGTTTTAATGCAGAAATTTTAAAATTGTATTTTGAACAACTTTGAACACCAATTGTTTAACTTAATAACGTTAAAAATGTAAAATTTAATGGAAACACTTATTTAAAATTAGGAGTAAGAAAAAAATAAATATGAGTGGCAAATGTGATTTTTTAAAAAATTACCTTTGGAACATCAACTATGTCTATTCTTTGAAAGTCAATGTGAATCTCACGACCATATACAGAAACGAATTCTATAAATAAATAATTAAACATAAAAAAAAATAATATAAATACACTTTCAAAAATATAAAATCACATAGATTTTTTAGCTAATATTTGTATTGTTTTCTTTTAAAAAAAAAGAAAAAAAATGTGAGATTTTAAAAAAAACATTTTTTTCAGAATAGATAAAATAACAAAAATAAATAAAAAATAAAAAATATTATTTTGGTACCAAAATCATTAAAAAAAGAGAATCAAGTCAAAAAAATAATAAATAATAATGAAATAAATGTATTTAAAATATGTCACGCTTGAATTCATTATTTCGTATAATCAATAAATGCTTTTGCGCAGGTTTGAATACATATTGCCATTCAATTAAATTTTGGCATTGATTCAATTAAAGACATACATAATTCCTTTGCAATTTCGTTTCAAAGTTTTTCCAGTGCAAGTTTCTATTACACAACCCGTTTGTAATTACAATCGTAAATTCTCCTTCTATATATATTTTGAAAACCTTAAAAATGTCTTTATGAGAAATGCATCCCCATACAACAATCAATCTGCCACCACCTTGTACTCTTGGTACACAAAATCTTTACTTATATTTTTCTGAAGTGAATCTTTTAACGATAATTCTTGATTTATGATTAACCACCTCAAAATTTGATTCCTCAATAAAAACAACTTAAGACCAATCTTCTACTGACCAGTAAAGATTGGTCTTGATTGACTTTCCTTACACTACTTATATCTTTTAATCCTATCTGCCACTCTAAAAAGCGGTTTTCTAGCAGTAACATAACAGTCAATACTTTTTTGAATTAAGACATCTAACTGTGCTACAACTAACACTAACATAACCAGCTAATTACTAAACTCTGGTGACAGCTCTCAGTAGCTAACTTTAGGATCTTCCCTTACTCATGGATAGAATAAGCTTTGATCCCTAGAATTAACTCTTGATGGCCATCACAGCTAAGGAGCCACACCTACCCTATATATAAACAGCTGCTAGCTTACTCAATTTCAGTTGAAAACAATTACTGTACCAGCACATTATGTGTTAATATGAGTTTTATATTATTATTCATTTTTCCTAAAAACATATTTTTTCATTTATTCTTGTGAAAAGCAGGAAGCAACGAGGAGAAAAATCACAATTACCTGTTGCTGATTTCAATATATCCTTCACCCAAGACTGCTAAATAATTTCTAACTAATTATTTTTAATTCTATATAGAAATTGAATAGAGAATGGGATAGAAATATAATAATTAATAAAGAATATATAAAAATATTTGCTCTAATGGTGTAGTGGTAGAATGCTTGCTTCATAAGCAAGAAATTTGCAATTCAATCCTCATCATGTAACATAACCATTACATTAATCACAATCGTCACATAAATAACAAAATTTCAGCTAAAACCAACTGCAACTACTATAATAAGAATACCTGCCCTTTATCAAACCAGTGCCTTATAAAAAGTATCATTATATCAAGCTAATGTTAGTTCCAATGATTCTACTCATGCATCTATCAATAAATTCTACATTGTTATAAGCTAAACACCACTTAAAAATGCCAACTATATAAAACCCTTTAATATTCCTAAGTACAAAAATGACACTGAGCTACAAAATTAATTTTAAACTAAATGATGCAATATTAAACCCACTTTTCAAATGGAAAATAATTAAACAGCGCAATTTTTAGAACCCTGCCACAAAATTCTGTAAACTATGCATAAATGAAAAGAATGAAACTCTATTCTTCAAAAATCCAAATCTGTTAAAAAAAAAAAGTGTATCAATAGCAGCACGCGGAATTAGGAAAAATAAGGTTGGCAAATTATTACCGCCCTTAATCTGTGTGAGGTCGGCATCAGGTCGGCAGAAAAATGTAAAACAAAGGTTTGACCATAAAACATAGAAAGGAGGTCGGAGATTTTTTTCCAAACTCAAACATTTCTAGGTCAACAGTTAGGTTGGTATTGCTGAATGCCAACCCTAATTACGAGGGTTGCAATAGTAATATCAAATTTCATTTGACATGGGTGATTAACCAATTTCCTACTTTAACTTATTTTGTGTTGACGTCAGAACTCATTTTATTGCTTTAATTTTGTTTTTTGTATTTTCAACAGTTTTTTCTTGGATTAAAAAAAAGATATGGTTGATGATTGCCAATAGGCATGAAACTTTAAGTTCCATCATAATGTTATATTTTTTCATGTAATACTATATATAAATATTCTATCTATTTTGTAAATAACTTACATGATTACTTTTAAAAAAACAAGAAGCCATCTAAACTTGATACAATAAACAGAAATGTACAGTTGCAGTTGCCCACTTTACCACCAAAAAATAACTGCTTTTTTTAACAGTATTTTATTATGATTTATTTTGTAAAATTAATTAATATTTGTAGCATTATTTTATTTCTGATAACAATATATTCTATTCAGATCAAAATGCAAAATGCATTTTTCAAAAAACTGTTATTTATGTTTTATATGAATTATATATATGAAATTATAAAATAAATTTAATCAGGTTATTTTGATTTCTTTTTTTCTCATAAAAAAGTTTGAGTTAACTGAAGAAATATGTTGTTAGGAGATAAAAACATGGTTCAACTTTGACAAATTTTGATATATCCATGGTTCAACTTAACTGGAGAATTTTAATAGTAATCAGTTAGACAATTTCAAGTGATCAAATAAAACAGTTCAAGATAACAAAAGTACAAGCTATCTGGTGTTCCACTTGCCAGGAACTAAATGTAATTTTTGTTTTGTCCCTCTCTTACTTTTCTTTTTTTTTGTCTTTAAAAAAAAAGATTTTGATTAGAGATTTCGTTATCTAATAAATTTATTTAATTAAATATTTAATTAATTAACAAACGTACTCTATACATTTATAACTTTTATACTAGTTATTTTTTTAAAACATTAAAGTTTAATGATGTAAGGTAAGTTTAAAATCTTCATTAATAAGGCACAAAAATAAGGTAAATAAGTTTTAATTTGTCATTAAAAATTAACTGAAAAATACAAAAATTAACAGAAATTTTTAATTTAAATTTAAAAACTAACTGTTAAAGGTTTTTGACTTGTGTCTTTTTCGAAATGATAGGTTCAATTATCAAAAACTATTGATAATATTTGCTTTTATTAGAAATCTTAGAAAAAGTAAAAACTAAAAAAAAAAAAAGTTTTTTTTTTTTAGTTTTTACTTTTTCTAAGATTTCTAATAAAAGCAAATATTATCAATAGTTTTTGATAATTGAACCTATCATTTCGAAAAAGACACAAGTCAAAAACCTTTAACAGTTAGTTTTTAAATTTAAATTAAAAATTTCTGTATGATTTATGTTTTTATTTAAAAAAATATAAGTTATATATGTTCTTTATTTATCTACTCCTATGTTTAGTTTCTTTACCAGCATACACATTATTTTAATAAAAATCATGTTTTTGTTGATACTGAAAAGTTTTAATAAATGGACTTTTCGAAATGACATGTTCAACTATTTTGGTTTGCAAAAATATTTTCTCATTACCCATAGCAATATATTCAAAAATGACTTCACTGTAAAAAATATGCCAAATGCAAAATATAAAAAAAAATAGTGATGGAAAACTTAAAACATTGGCAAGTGACTGATGTTAACTATACTTTTACTTTCAGTCAGCTGACCAGCAACTGAACAAAATCCAACTGTACACTACTGTTATATATACAAAAAATTTTAAATGTATTCTATAAAGTAGAATGTTCAATACTCTTTAAGAACAGAGCAATAATAAATTAATAATAAATTAAATATAAAAATTTTGTATGGGTAAGAAAAGTTAAGCTTTTAATTAAATAATTTAATTAAATAATTTTATTATGAAGATTTTTTTGTAACAAAACTTGGGTGTCTATCAGAATCATCTGCAGTTTACCAAATAAATATAGAAACATTTTAATTTCTTAAATGTGTAAACAACTCACCTAACAAACTAGGCCCCTCTTTTTTAACTTCAACACCAAGCCAAGGAGTTTTAAATCCTAGAGTAATATCATATATCGCATCCAAATTTGTCAATTCTTCAATACAAAGCTAAAACAATTTTTTACTTTTTAAAATATAATTTAAAAAAAAAGACTTGAAAAAACTTCGTTTGTTGTTATTTTTATCATTTTGTTTGCATAAGAAAAACAGGCCTGGTTGCTATATTATAAGTAATCTCTTCATTTACTCTCCTTCAACAATAGTTGTTTTATCAGCTGATATAATTTTTTTCTGTTTTGTTGATGTTATTCAGGTCAGGATTGTGATCGCTTAGATTACCCTGCTACTGGTAAAATATAATCTTTCCAGCTACTGGTAACAAAAAATCTTTCCTGCTACTGGTAACATATAATCTTTCCTACTATTGGTAAGATAATCTTTCCTGCTACTGGTAACATATAATCTTTCCTGCTACTGGTAACATAATCAACCACAAGCTTTCTTAAGTTCAGCTGCACTGTACGATTTGCTTTTCAAGGCAAAGTCTTTGAAAAATTCTCTTATTTAATTACAATTTCGTATTTCAGAGATAACTTAGAATGCCCCCTTAGAACTCTTGGTTGAGTAAAGGCTAGGGATAATGTATTCATATATATTCTCATAATAGGTAGATGTTAACTACATCCGACTACTGTGTTATAGAGGAGTTTTTAGATAAAGACTCACACTTTTTCAACTAATTGAGATGCATAGATGTAAAGCTGTGTTACATTCTTTCCTGCCTAGGATGATGATAGCCAACTTTGTGTTAGCTTTTTTAGTAGCTGATTCTATCAACAGCTGTAAAATATCAAAATATTAACACTGACATATTGCGTCTGGAAGGTGTCACTTGTTAGTGCTTTTGATGTACATTGTTGAGGCCACATAAGGATCCCTTTGTTAGAACTTAGATTTTAACAGGAATGAGACAACTGCATAACTTAGTTTATAATTGCTAAGAATGTTATGGACTATGAATAGTATGATTATCTATCATTCAGTCAAGTTCTCTAACCAATTAAAACATAAATAAAGTAATTACTCTTAGTAAGACTAATTTAAATTAGGCTTATTCAGATTCAGAATTAATGGAGTTAATTCAGATTCGGAATTAATGGAGTTAATTCAGATTTGGAATTAATGGAGTTAATTCAGATTCAGAATTAATGGAGTTAATTCAGATTCAGAATTAATGGAGTTAATTCAGATTCGGAATTAATGGAGTTAATTCAGAGTTAATTGTTATTATCTTTTGATTCATCTCCAATAGTCACATGCTTTGCTTATTCTTATGCATCGATTCACATATTTATTTCAAAATTATGTTTGAATCCTCTGACAATACTTTTATGTGATTTTGCTTATTTAGCTATTCTTTGCTAAATCATTTTTACTTTTTGTTTTTTTTATCATTCTCCTTATTCCATTTTCTCCACTCCAAAACAAGAGTCTTCATTCTTTTCAATGTTATTTTATATCAAATTGACAAAGCCTTTCTTATTATCTTTTTTGCTGCTTTTACATCAGCTTCAACACTAAGAAAGACTATTGGCCTTGATATATCAAAAGTTTATGATAAAACCTGGTATGCTTGTCTTCTCCATAAACTCGATTCATCTGGGAAAGATATAAAACTCTTAAATCATTCTTTTCAAACCATAGCACAGTGGGTCAGAAGCCGGCAAAACCATACAAAAAAGTTTTAAAATTTTGAAATTTTGAAAAAGGCAAATTTTGCTCAATATATTAATAAGCCAGAAATTATATTTTATTAAAAAATAATTTTTCAATAAAACGCCATATTTGTTGTTTAAATATCTCCTTAAATACTTTTTATCAATAACAACAAAAAAGTGTGAAAATTTTATTTTTTTACATCTTTTGAAAACTTTGATTTCTTATTTTAAAGAAGTTTAAGTTTATTTCTTAACTTATAAATGACTTATATAGTATTATGTTAATATTTAAATCACATAAAAAAAATAAATATTTTTTGCAATTTATATAAATATTTTCAACAATGCAAACATCAATAATTTTAAGTTATAAGTTTAAATTTTTTTCAAAAATATCATTTAAAACCATTGGATCAACCTGTATCAACCGCTTAAAATGATATATAATTGAATACCAATATGACATTGATCTTGTGGTATAAAAATTGGCTGCTTATAGCTGCCTAAACGAATACACTTTTAAATTCAATTAACTACATCCACGCTTCTTGTTAATGCGTTTTTGATTGATAACAAAAAATTTAAGAAGATTTAAAATTTAAAAACTGCAGTTTGACTTTAAAAACAATTTTTATTAAAGACATAAGTTTAAAATTAAATACTTTTGTATTTTTTAATTGCTTTCCAGTAACTTCCTTGTATTTGCTCAATGAACATTTAGATCGCATTGAAACCATTATTCCCAATATTTTATGCTACCGTTTTAAAGTAATAAAAACTCAGAGACTGTGATAAAATATGAATTATATACTTCTACATGGTACAAGTTTGGGATATAATATTTATTATTTATTTTATAATTTCCGAAAACAATAAAATTATATGTAATCGATAAAAAACACAATAACAACCAATGAGAAATAAAGGAAAGGAACTGAGTTTCATAGTTACTGCTCGTAAAAAAACTTTATTAAAAACATTTTAAATTACTTTCTTTCAAATTAAAAGTATTTTATTGAACAGACAATCTCTTAAAAATGGATAGGAGATGTCTTATGAATTATATAATGGAAAATAATTTACTACTAAATGATGATTTACATGCAAAGATTTTGAGTTTTGTTTCCCAAAGCAATTTTGAAGAATCTAATGATAACTTGTCAATTATTTTGAAATTCATTTACCAAGCTAAAAACAAGTGGAAAAAATCGAATAAAACAAGTGCAGTATTTGAAAAAAGATATAAAGTTTGGTTAAACCAAACTATATTTGACTGTAAAAAAAAAAAAATCGAAACAAAAACCTGTGGTATGTTTACTTTAACTATGAGTAAATTTATTATAATGTGTATAATTTATTTGTATTATTATTACGACGATTTAATAATTGATAAAATAATATTATACTTTGGTGGTAGCTTCAAACAAAATCGAAGGTGGACGCCCTTCGATTTTGTTTGAAGATGCGTCTGTGAGAACTAAAGATCGCACAATTAAAGAGCTTTTGAGTAAATATAATTTAAACAAACTTTTATATGCAGCAAGTAAAAGTTTGAAAAAGGATAAAAAGTTTATAGAAGCAAAAGTGGTTAAAAAAATATACAACAAAGAATTATCGACAAAATCACTTACTTCAGAACAATCATTAGCACTAGTCTTAGATGCTAATTTATTCAAAGAAACTTATCAGCATTTAAGAAACAATGCTCTTCCATTCAGCTCTCTATACCCATCCTATCATATTGTAAAAGAGGCTAAAAATAAATGCTACCCTGAAAACATTCAGGTCAGTGACTACTCTGCAGAGGCTCCATTACAAGCTCTTCTTTTTCATACTGCATCAAGAATATGTAGCTTATAGTGTTGTGTTAAATTCACCTGTGCTTAAAGATTGTACTAAACTATTTATAATATACAAAGCTGGTTTTGATGGTGCAACAGGACAATCTGTTTATAAACAACTGTCAGATGTTTCTAGTGAACTTCATACAGATGAATCACTTTTCATAACTTGCTTGGTTCTTCTAGAACTATATTGTTTCAAAGATGACAAAAACAGGTTGTTTGGAGAAATCCGAAACCATCGTCAACTAATTACTGCAGACCTCTGAGATTTAAATATAGAAAAGAATCAAATGAAGTAATTCTTGCAGAATATGAGTCAATTATGGCTTCTATTAAAGAGATAACATTATCTGTTGTACCTGTTTTATTGGAGAACGGTACAACAAAGGAAGTTGAAATACAACATATTGTAAATTTAACAATAATAGATGGAAAAATTCAAACTATTATTTCTACAGCAACCAACTCATACCAATGCTGTTCAGTGTGTGGTGCATCTCCAATCGAAATGAACAATTTATCTTTAGTTGTTAAAAAAAAAACTTTAGAATGCAATATAAAACATGGGGTTTCAACTTTGCATGCTTGGATAAAGTTTTTAGAATGTATGCTCCATATCTCTTATAAGATGCCGATTATGAAGTGGCAGGCTAGAAATCAAGACAAAAAAAATATTGTTAAACTGAGAAAACTTGAAGTCTGTGCTGAATTTTGAACAAGGATAGGTCTTGTCATAGACCAAGCGAGAATAGGTGGGGCAGGTACATCAAACGATGGCAACACAACTAGGCGATTTTTTCAGCAATACAATGTCTCAGCTAGTATAATGAACATCGATGTAGATCTTATGAAAAGGCTTCATACTATTCTGGCCACAATATCAAGTTATGAAATTAACTCATCCAAATTTAAAACATTCTGTTGGGAAACTGCTTCGCTCTATGTATTCCTGTACCCTTGGTATCCTATGACTCAAACACTTCATAAGATTTTGATTCATGGCTATGAAGTCATTGAATTATTTACTCTTCCATTAGGTATGTTTTCTGAAGAGGCTCAAGAGGCTACCAATAAGGTTTTTAAGATTTTTCGTGAAAATTTTACAAGAAAATGCGATCGGAAAAAAAACAATATAGACCTTTTTCATCGCCTTTTATGTGCATCTGATCCTTTAATTTGCACATTAAGAAAGAAGATACATAATAAAAAAAAAAGTTTACCATCTGGTGTAAAAGATTAATGAGTTTTAACGCTATTTAATTTTAATGCAGCGGCTAAAAATTTTAACCCAAACAAAACTCGCTTGTTTATTGGTAATAATTATTGCATTATTGATTTTTTTTATATTGATGAATGAAAACAATATTATTGATTCCTCTAATTCTCAGTTTATACAGTGTCTTGGATAATTACTGATGACCTCTTATTACTGATGACCTCTTATTACTACTGACCTCTCATTACTAATGACCTCTCATTACTCAATCCTCAGAATTAGGGTCAGCATTTGGCAATGCCGACCTAACTGCTGACCTGAAAGTGTTTGAGGTTTCTAAGTTTTGTGGTTAGACCTTTGTATCAAAGAATTTTAAAAAAAATTATTGCAGACCTCATTTTTCCTAAATCCGAGGGTTGCATTACTCTCATTACCACTGACCTATCATTACTACTGACCTCCTCATTAAAACCATCTGTTCAATTGTTCTAAGGTTGCATCTTTTTTTATTTTCTACAAATACCATGGGAAATCAATCTTGTGTAACTTTTCTTTTATACTCAAAAAATATTTATTCATCTCATTTTTTTTGATTGAACATCTTTGAAATTCTCTCCCACCATCATGTTTTTATAACTCATACAGTTTACAGTGATTTTAATCTTCACCTGCTTCTAATCTTCTTTAACAGCAACTAATCTTCAACTGCTTTCTTTGTCTTTTTAGACAACACATAAAGATTTCATTTAAATTGTAAAATTTTATACAAAATGTTTTAAAAGGGCCTTGTGGTCTGGGTCTCACAAATTTTATTATTAATATTTTAAAAATGTTTGTACAAAGCTAAGACTTTTGTTTTTAATAATATAAACTAAAATTACAAAATTTAAATACACAAGTCAATGAAAAAATAATAATTTCTTTTAAATTTTCATCTGCTGCAAGACTTAATAAAAAAACATAATCAACTTTTGTAAATAAAAATAAAATACCTCAACACCTTTAGTTCTTGGAAATAATACATTGTCAAACGGTGTTATTCCTAAATCGAAACTTCTGTTGATATACATACTGTTGATAATTGTATATTAGGATCAATAAAATGTTACAAACCTGCTTGCTTTGCTAATTGTGAACTTTTTTCTACCAAGTGAGTTTTATTTTCACTAAACCTTGTCCCTTCTGGAAATATTACCAACCAGTACTAAAAACAATTACAAGATTAAATTTTTTTTTTAAGTTTAACCCTTTTCTTTTAATGATTTTGTGCAAACATATTTTGAACTAATAATAATATAAAGTTTTTTGAGAAATTGAGAAAATATTTTTGAGAAAAACATAATACAATGTTTATAAGGCAGAAAGAAAAGAGACAGAGTTTAAAGAGACATGTTTAAACAAAGAGGAGAAAATTTTTTTTTATAATTCCTAAAAAAAAAAAGAAAAAAAAAAAAGGCAGTCATAGTTGAAACAAAAAAAAACTTTTTATTTTTCCTTTCCATCAACTTAAACAACTTAAAGTAGATGTTACATACTCCATTTACTCTGTCTTTCTTGAACTTTTGAAGTCTCCTTAAAAACATAGAAACAATTTTTTGAGTTAAATAAAATAGAACTGTTATGAGTGTACATAATGCATTCACCATATTATAGGTCATAATACTAAACTGATCCAAAATTGAAGCAGGCAAGACTCCTTAGCCATGCAAAGGAAACTTACCTAAGAGAAAGGAAACACTGATAAAATTTTTTTTTTAATTGTAGTAGGAGGAATAAACTTTTAATCTTCCTTTTGGCAGTATAAAAATATAAATAAACAATTTACGAAAAAAATTAATGCCAAAAAGGACATCTGGTCTCAAACCTAAAAAATGCTCCAGATCTTTTATTTCATATTTAAATCAGAAAAAAAGACAATTGAAACTTGCCCATAGAACCATAAGCATTAAACTCAAAATAAATAAATACAAACATGAATTTAATATGAAAAAAATTTCATTTTTTCTTCTTTATCTAATAAAATCTGTATATCTGCATTGAAATGACTATTTCAAAAATTAAAATAACTAGAACAAATTAGTTGCGACACAAGCATATTAATACAAGGGCAACATCAACATCATTTGTTTATGAACAACATAAACAAATGAGTACAAAATAAACAAATGAGTAACAACATAAACAAATGAGTGGCAACATAAATCTGCAATAATAGATAAAAAAGTGTTATATTAATAAAAACATTACAAAAAATAAATATATTAATTACTACAAGAGTTAAATTGAAAAAAAATTTTGATTAGTTTTTGTATTTATGATTCTTTTAAATATTTAAATAAAGTGTAAAAGTAGAGTTTTTTATATGAGGTTTGAAAGTGTTTTTTATAGTGTTTTTTATTTCATTATGACTGGTAACTGCACAACAATATTTGAAAAATAAAAGTTTTTACAACAACTTTAACTATTTTAAATATTTCTGTTTTGCTTTTTTTTATAATCTGAATAAGGCAATAATTATATAAAGATTACTGATGAATATAACTTTTGGCAATATTGAAAAAAACTATAAAAATAAAAATGACTTGTATAACATTATAAAATATATAACTTTTTTCCAACAAATTATGGGTGAATGAGGTAAGAATCATGAAGGGTGGGTGAAGTAAGAATCATGATGGGTGGATGAGGTAGGGACAAAAAAATTGATGAACTTAAACTCTAACCAAGTCAAATTAGGTAAATACTAGTGGCCTAATTTAAAATATATAAAAAATACAATAAGAGTAAAAACTATATACATAAAGCATTTATAGCTAAATAATAAACTAGATAAAATAAAAAAGTTAGATCCATCAATAAAAAGTTTACCTTCGTAAGTCATCTTCATCATTAACTCTTCCTTTTGTTTGAACAAATACACATCCATGCTATATATATATATATATATATATATATATATATATATATATATATATATATATATATATATATATATATATATATATATATATATATATATATATATATATATATATATATATATATATATATATATATATATATATATATATATAACCCTTGGAATTAGGGTCGGCATTATGCTGATCTGAAAGTGTTTGAGGTCGGCGAAAAATTGCCAACCTTGTTTTTATGTTTTATGGTCAGACCTTTGTATCAAATAATTTTTGCCAACCTGATGCCGACCTCAAAAAGATTGAGGTAGGCAAATTATTACCAACCTTATTTTTCCTAATTCTGAGGGTTGATATATATATATATATATATATATATATATATATATATATATATATATATATATATATATATATATATATATATATATATATATATATATATATATATATATATATATATATATATATGTGTATATATATATATATATATATATATATATATATATATATATATATATATATATATATATATATATATATATATATATATATATATATATATATATATATATATATATATATATATATATAGTCAAAATAATTGTTATAAATAACAACCTTTTTTAAGCTTTTACACAACTTATAAAACAATTTTATAAAGATTGTTGTTTATTTGAAATAAATACATAGATATATGACACATTTTTAACTTATGTTACACTCGCAACAACTTTATCAAAGCTCTTAGATAAACTTTTGGCAATTTTGTTTGTAAGCTATTGGTTTGAAGAATAATTTAAGCTAAATACTTTTGGCTTTTACAATAAAATAACAAACTTTTTTTTTTTAATCCATTTATTTAACCATAAAATTGAAAAAAATTACAGATTTATTTATAATTTTGCAAAATTAGGTTCTGAGTGACACCTTGATAAAATAAACAAATAAAGCAAAAAACAAACAAACAACAAAAAGTAATAATATAGATAGTGAACAAAAAATAATTATAATAAAAAGAAGAACAATTACAATTTAAAAAACAAAAAAAAACAAAAAAGGAAAAAGTGAATGAGCTGACATGAGAGATAGTGAATGAATGAGATAACACATCGTTTAACGATCAGATTACTCTACTTTAAGTCACTTAGGACCAAAAATGTCATTTAACTTACGCTATGCAAAAAAACCAAGTAAAAAAATAATACAACTTTAAGGACAAATTTCTGTGAAATGGTATTGTGAATCGTATTAAATATTTTTTTTAAACTGCAGGGTAAAGCATAAGTGACGATGATGTCTATCTGAGAGGATAAACTAGGTATTGATGCTGCCCCACTACATAAATTATGATTACATAAAAGAAATGTCTTTTCTTTATCTTACACCTCCTATTATTTTAAATTTATTCATTTTAAATATGCATATATATATATATATATATATATATATATATATATATATATATATATATATATATATATATATATATATATATATATATATATATATATATATATATATATATATATATATATATATATATAATATATATATATATATATATATATATATATATATATATATATATATATATATATATATATATATATATATATATATATATATATGTTTTAAAGTAGGTTAAACTTTTGTATTTAATTAAGATTTTGGTTATTTATGAATCCTAATTTGTTTTAGATATACTTTAACAATTAAACTACTGTTGACTATATAACATAGCCAATAAAATGTTGTTAATTCAATTCTTAATAAAAAAATAAAAAATGTTACATTAGAAGTGAACAACTAAAGAAAATAAATGGGTTATCTCAACACCATGCATTTAAACTTACATATGCAGGGTTACATCCAGGGTTGGCAAAAACCCGGGTTTTTTTAAAAAAACCCGGCCCAGTGGGTTTTTTTGGGTTTTATTGGGTTTTATTGGGTAAATTTGGGTTTTTTTGGGTATAATTTTTATTTTGTCTCTGTAAAAAAATTTTGTGTGTTTTTGTTTATTGATATTGAAAATTAGTTTTTTTCTACTTTAACTTTATTTAAAATATATTTAATATATTGTTGTTTAATTATTTATAACAAGAATTTTTCAAATTATTTTGAAAAAGATTTTTAAATATAATTTAAAACTGTAATAGGAAAAAAAAATTTCACACTTAATCTATATGTATTGATTTATTTTAAATTTAAAAGTATTATTTTATATAATTAAAAATGTCAATGAGAAAATGTGAAAAAGAAGGCTTGAGAATGGGAGGTAGTAACTGAAGTTTCAAATAAACTTTGAACTTGAAATTCAAATGAACAAACTTGTTCCTCTGCGCAGCGGCCTTGTTTATAAAGATTCGTGTTTAGGAGTTAAAGAGTTTTTTTTCTTCTTTAAATCAATTCACCTCCTCAAAGCTTATGGTCACTACAGGCGAGGAGGCTACTTATTTGTGGTTATAACCCTCACTCAACTCTATAACTCCGAAACATGAACCTTGACGAACAAGGCCGCTGCGCGGAGAAAGGAGTTGAGCGCGGTACTGCCAAGGACGTGGTGGGGATCAAACTCGGAACCTCTCACTTATGAAGTGAGCGCTCTACCACAACACCACTACCGCAAAAGAGTTGAGAGAGGGTTGTAACCACAACAAGGTAGCCTCCTTGACTGTTGTGTTGGCTTCTCTGGTCACTACTACTCATTTAAATTCAACTTGGGAGGTGAACAACATTATGTAATAAAAATCTCAATCTAAATATTTGAATAAAAATTGTAATAATGTATTTCCAAATAATGATTCAAATAATAGTAAACCTGCTCTGATAGCTGTTATTGTTGGTTATAATAGTTAATAATAATAGTTAATAATAATTAAGTTAATAAAAATAGTTAATAATTATTTTAGTAAATAATATTATAGTTATAATGTTAAAGTTGGTTATAATAGTTCATAAACTTATTAAATATCTTTAAAAAAACCCAATAAAACCCAGATTTTCCAGGGTTTTATTGGGTTTTTTTAGGCGGGTTTTTTTGGGTTTTATTGGGCGGGTTTTTTTGGGCGGGTTTTTTAATGCCAACCCTGGTTACATCACTACAATTATTAAGGAGGATTATATATTGGTTGAAATATTGGGTGGGAAACTCTTTGCATGTCTTTGTATTAAATGTCATGTTTCTCCCATTTATGACATACAAACTATAGTCAATTTGCAAGGGCAGATCAAGAGCGATTGGTCTTATTTAAATATACAACTTTAGGAGTTTAAAAAACTGTTTTTCTTTCTATCTAAAGAACACCACTGAAAAGAAGATTATTGTTATTTGAACATAGTTTTATTAGTGTCAATTACTTAAAATATTAACATTTTTTTTTTTTTAAATGTTTCTTTACAAATTTTAGAAGTCATTTCTTGATCATATCAGTAGTATTGGTGCTAGAGCATTTTATTTTTTAGTTTATAAAACCAAAGAACTGCAAACAAAATTCCATTTGCTCTAAGTTTATACAAATCTGTTGCTTTCTTCGAGATTTTCTATAAAAACTAATAAAATTTATTAAATTGAAAACAGTTTTTTAAAAGTTATTAAATTGAAAACAGTTTTTTTAAAGTTATTAAATTGAAAACAGTTTTTTAAAAGTTATTAAATTGAAAACAGTTTTTTAAAAGTTATTAAATTGAAAACAGTTTTTTTTTTTGCGAAGAGTAAGAGCGAATTTTAAATAATTCTTTGTCAAAAATATCTTACAATTTTTATTTTTATTTTTATTTTTATTTTGTTCAAAGTTTCCAGTTGAACTAAAAATATCTTACAATTTTTATTTTGTTCAAAGTTTCCAGTTGAACTAAAAATATCTTACAATTTTTATTTTGTTAAAAGTTTCCAGTTGAACTAAAAATATCTTACAATTTTTATTTTGTTCAAAGTTTCCAGTTGAACTAAAAATATCTTACAATTTTTATTTTGTTAAAAGTTTCCAGTTGAACTAAAAATATCTTACAATTTTTATTTTGTTCAAAGTTTCCAGTTGAACTAAAAATATCTTACAATTTTTATTTTGTTCAAAGTTTCCAGTTGAACTAAAAATATCTTACAATTTTTATTTTGTTAAAAGTTTCCAGTTGAACTAAAAATATCTTACAATTTTTATTTTGTTAAAAGTTTCCAGTTGAACTAAAATGCAAATATTTTTTTTTTGAAAATTGTTTAATAATTCAAACTCATTTATTATTCAAACCAGATATTTTGCAAGGAAAAATATTTTTAATAAGTTTAAATTACCCTCTCAACCGGAAGTATAATGGCAAAACAATAAATGCTTTTTTTGTTATCTCAAATAAATTGATTAGGTGATTTTAACTCAAAATTTTTTTTATAATTTAAATACATACATACATTTAGTATGTATGTATTTAAATTATAATAGGCTGGATGAATAAAAAGCAATTGTTTTTACTCAGCGTTTTTCAAGTAATTGCTCAGCTTTACATGAATAAAATATTTAGCAATTTGGCTCAAATTTTTGAAAATTTGAAAAAAGATAATCCACATTATTATATTTATCGAAAAAACTAATTTTGACAGAAAATTCTTCACGAACTTTGGAAAGGCATTAACAATCTAATAAATGTCAAATATTTTAATTCTTATCAACCTAACTGTTATTCATAATTATTTTAATACATTAGCTTAACAAAAAATAAAAAAGGTTACATAAAATTGCTTTACAAGTATACTTTGATATAAAAGACATAGATCACACAGAAATAGATCAAAAAGCAGAAAGCAATACAACAAAGTGGCAAATAACTGGTATGAAGGATTACATCATGATCAGCAACAGAGAAATACCAAGATTAAAATTTTAAATAAATGCATCAAAAAAACTTTGAGAACATTGAGAAAATAACAGATATATATATATATATATATATATATATATATATATATATATATATATATATATATATATATATATATATATATACCAGGGACAAACCCAGAC